GAAAGAGCTTATTTTGCTGTATTAGTTTTTTTTTTCATTTGGTTTTTTCTTCTTCCTCGGCGAAGATGATGAAAAAGAATTGCGTTTTATTGTTCTGAACTGCATTAATTTCGTATTGGCAAAATAATTTTTATTGAAGTGTGATCCATCGAAAGTTGAGTGGTTTATTTATGAAATTATGCGGAATGTGCAAACATTTTTTGGCTTATTGCATATTGCTTTGATTGGGCGCAAAATGAAAGTGTTTGTCTTATTTATTGTCTTAATATGATAAACCAGCAAAGCTAGAAAGAGAAAGTGGGCACATGTTATGTAGTTCAAGTGCGCTAAATAAATATTTAATGCATAATTTGTCGATTCGGCATAGCATTTATTTTCCATAAAAGTTGATCCATTTTATGAGCGTGAATCTTCATTTCTAATTCCAATAAATGCATAAACAAGCGCCATGGCCACATAACACGCGGTCAAGTATCATTTATACTCTATTTTTTTCTGCGCCCACATGAAAACACTTTGCGATAATTTTCATCCCTTAGCACGCATTTCAATCGAAGAGCAATCAGACAACAACACAAAAAAACAACAACCAACTTTTCGACTTATCAGCAACACATCTGATATGTGTATTAGACGGCAACGGATCAAGTGGATGGCCTTTTGAGATGATAATGTACCAAAAGTAAAAAAAAAGTAAAGTCATATTTTGCTCTCTCTCTCTCTCTCTGTTCCCCGCTCACTTGTTTTATTCTTATGTTGTTTGTTTCAAGTGCCCATCCTTGTCCGTTATTATTTAATGTCATGTTATTTTATTACAAAAGAAGAATTGCATGGGATGCTTCAAGATAGCATATGTGCTTTATCGCATATGTGTATATTTGGGCTAGGGAACGTAAAATTTTATGTTATGACCATGAAATAGCCTTCCAAAATATCGAATAACACTTATACGGCCTAAAAAAATAACAATATTCTTATCAATATTGCATAACATACCCAACGCATACAACGACCTGTTTCTTCCCCCTTCTCGTGAAATGTACAAGAGTCGACAGTCCACTGATGCTCTCATACACTGTCATTTATTTGTTTGTTTTTCCACTTACTAACAATTCGGCCGAAAAAAAAATAATCATGCCTCTTCGAAACAGAGACAAGAATGAGTACCTCGGAGAAGCAAAAAAAAACCTTACCGAATAAGTGCGTTGTTTTTCGTACATTGATGATCCATTTAGCAGCTAGATGTCTGATGCGGTATCATAGAACTACTTTCATCTAATCCAATTTCAGTAGGTAAAAAGTCGCTCAATGACCTCCGTCAGGTTAAGACAGTGCACAACACATCTAAATGATAATCCGCATTATTTTTATGTCAAACATTTAAAAGTCAAATCCATTGATGATGTTGATCAGCACTTTCATCTGGAACTTATTCTACTTTTACTCGTATTTCGATGTTGATGCCATTTCACAACCATTTTCATTTCATATAGAATTTCCATTGATTCAACCGCAATGTTTGGGTTCGATTTGACCGCATCCGAAACATTTGTACGGAATGTGTTTTGTTTCAAACTGGCCTTGTTTACGATGGCCGACCGCACTCCTTTTCTCCTTTTCTGTGGGGAGATTATCATTGTACAGGGTGGGCCAGAATAACTGCAATTTTTTTTCGCACCTATGTAGATACTACTATAATAACTTTCCAGTCACTCTTTTGTTTACCGTTATGTTTATTCATGTTTTGGTTATCCACTGTGATGATGCACATTATTGCGCAGTTCTTGTTTACTTTGCTACAATAATGGATGTGAAACGTCAACTCGTTTTGAATTTGCATAAAAAAGGTTTGCGACAAATTGATATTTTTCGGAAGCTTCAGATCGACAATATCAGTTTGAATTTTATTCATCGCACCATAAAACGATACAAGGAGCGTGGAACTGTCGATGTGAAGCGAAAAACGGGCAGAAAAAGATCTGTACGAACAAAAGGTCTGGTCCAAAAGGTACGAAAGAAAATTCTTCGAAATAACAAAAGAAGCGCCAGAATATTAGCTCGTGAGCACAATATCAGTCGATCTTCAATGCGACGAGTGTTGAGAGAAGATTTGGGAATGAAACCATTCAAAAAAACCCGAAAACATGGTTTGACAAAAAAAAAATAAGCAAGATAGAAAGCGAAAATGCAAAGAGCTGCTAAGCCGGGCCGCAACCTCAAACATCGTTTTCTCCGACGAGAAGTTGTTCCTTTTGCAGCCAAGTCTCAATGCGCAAAATGATCGTGTTTACGCAGCGACAATTGAGGACATTCCTGAAGATGATTTAGTCGTTGAACGATATCAAAATGTGTCAAGTGTCATGGTTTGGGGCGCCGTTTCGGCCGACCACAAATTTCCCCTTGTTTTCGTTGAAAGTGGCGTTAAAATCAATGCAGCTGTGTATGAAGAAGAAATATTGCGCAAAAAATTGTTGCCACACGCCAAAAAAGTGTTTGGTAATGAACCATGGGTGTTTCAACAAGATGGGGCACCGTCACATCGAGCAAACAGAGTGCAACAGTGGTTAAAGGAAAATGTGCCTGATTTTATTGATAAAGACGAATGGCCGCCATCGTCTCCAGACTTGAATCCATTGGATTATTTTGTGTGGGGCTACATGCAATCAAAGTTAAATGATCTGAAGATTACGAAAACCACAAAATTGGATGCATTTAAAAAGAAAATCGTCAAGATTTGGAACGATATTCCCATCGAAATGGTGCGGTCCGCGTGTAAATCGTTTTTACGACGTTTGCGTTTGGTGATCCGTGCAAACGGAGGAAGAATCAAAACCAAAACATGAATTTAAAATTTTGGACCCTATTCTAAATCCCAATAAAGTTTTCATTCAATTTTAGTAAAAAACAATACTTTTTCTGAGCACATATAAAAATTGCAGTTATTCTGGCCCACCCTGTAAAAGCATACTTTATGTATATCGAGCCAAACCATCTCTGTGACTAATATGACTTAATTTAATGCAATGATATCGCCTGTTGGATCTTTTATTGTTCAAGATCAATTTTCTTGGCCACAAATAAATTATCCATTTTATTTTCCGAAATAGATGCGATACACACAATTTTTATATTTGGTAAACTATGTTTTTGATGGCTTTTAGCAACCCTTTTCCTTTTGCCATTATTTTCAGTGTTTTTGGAATTATTTGACAATGCATGCTCAAAATGGAAGTAAAATGGAGAGAAATTGAATTGAACTAACCCATCATCGAATTGTTCTTAGAAACCAACGATTATTATTGACCGAAGAATGTTTCCGGAGTTGTAAACTGCTCAGTAGAAATCACTAATTAAAATCGACACGATCGCGTCCATCACGTAAACCAGCGAAAATTAACTCTATATTTGAATTACAAATGGAAACAAATCATTGTTTCATTTTACGTGAAACAATAAAAAACATAAATACTGCACTTAATATGCTCATTAATTTATGTTTTGTTTCGGCTGATTTCAATGTATCTATCTATTCTGGTGCTTTGCGATGAAGCAACACAACAACAGCAGAAAAAAAATATGCAATGAATTAGTATTCGATAACCGGCAAAAAAGGAGTTAAAATACGCGATTCAAAATAAAAAATGAAGGCAAAATTCCACATAAAACTCTTTACATGTGTTCATAAATGCAAGCGCGCAATATTTTAATAAATATATACGCACACTTCATAGAAAATGGTATGCGGCGCAAAAATTCGAATTGTTGCTGCCAATGCACAGCTCACATATACGGAAGATAATGCCATAAATGCAAAAGTTGGCAAGAGAATGAGTTCCCAAGAAAAAAAACTAACACACACACACACACACACACTCCGAAGAAAATAAAATGAATATCATAAAAGATGTAAAAAATGCGAACAAATAAGATGGAAAATGTTCAGCGCGAAATTGGTGTCTGTATATATGCGAATGACTAGGTGGCTCTCGCAAAAGACTGAGGCGAGTAAGTATGTATTCATTTGCACATTTAGTCTATAAAAATTCCAAAACGTGCATCAATTTTGAGTCCGCAACGAAAATAGTGGTAGCGCGCAATTTTGCAAGTGAACCAACGTCTGGCAAACACACATACATCTCGCTCACTCTATGTGTATAAATACATATTTATTGCCTCCGCCTCTCTGTGCAGCAATTGCAAAGTCGCGTTCTTCACTCCGTGCTTTTTGTCTCATAATAATATTTGTGTGTGTGTGTGAGTCTGCATGGTTGTCGAAGAATAAAAGGGGCCAAATTACAAGTATTTATAAGTACCAGTTGGGCACCATTTCTGCAAATTCATGTGCGCGTATCACTAACTCACTCTTTTATTTCCTCATTTTCACATTCATTTCATAATCTTAATTTATGGCCGACAAAGAATTTTCATTTTCGAATCATACTATTGCTTCTTCTCAAAAATTTTTATTGACTATCACCATTACACATTACCACAATTCACTTGCTCAAAGTGATATTGGTTCTCCCATTTGAATGCACACAACGAAAACTGTGGCTTGGCATGTGTTTGTTTGTCACTCTCATAAAAGACGATGAATGAATGCATTAAAATGTGGTTTTGTTTAGTGATTTTGATGTCTTTTCTTTCGAATGTTTAAATTTCTTTCTTTCGGAAAATAGGATATTTTCCCTTATTAAAAACCAAGAAAATAATTTTATAGGAACAATTTAACAAATTCTATTCTTTGGTTAATTTGTTTTTTTCACGTGGCAAATGCGACTCATTGTTGGGCAAACGAATGTTTTCACAAACTGTAAAAAATGTAAAAATATCCATTGATAATACATCAACATTCAAAATGAGCCAAGTCTTTAACCCCACTTTTGTTTTGAATAAAGGAGATTACAAATGAGATACGCGTGTATGATAAGTGCTGTGAATGCAAGTAACGCATTTATTCTTCAGTTTTGAATTTTGGAAAAAAATAAAATAAAAGGAAATATATGATTTACTTTCAGACTTTTATTTAATAAACTTATATCAGATACTTCTAAAATTGTACATTCCAATAATTTAATTTATGCAATTTGAAATATCGATGTAAAGCACTTTTTTTGAGGTCGATTTCTTGACAATCTTTTAATTGATGCAAAAAATAATAAATTCAAAATAAAAAAAAAGAAATACACAATATCTATCAATCTGTTGAAGAAAGTATTTGTATGTACACTTGTACAATGGTTCTATGGTTTTGATCGGTTTGCAATGAAATTGAGTAGTTGAGAATGATTTATAACACTGAATATGCGATTGGGGCCATCAACAACGGCCACAAATCCCTCAGTTTCCAAAAGTCGGGAGACTAGACCCAAAGAACTGTCCACAGTCACGCGATAGAACTTTTCAAATACGGCTGCCTTAACTGTGTCTTCAAGTTGATAATTCAAGCTAACAATCTTTTTTGTCAAGTACTTTAAGTCAATGAATCCCGCCAACGAGCTGTAATTAAATACGAAAGATAATTCCTATTAAATAAATTAAATTCTTTTGAATAATTCATTTATTATTACCCATCATTATTTTCCACTGGTACTTGTTGCAATCCATTGGCTGTTAAATACTCCAGGGCATCTTTACAAGTTGTGTCAGATTTGATTGTTTTCGATTTAGTCAACTTTAGATCAGCAACTGTATGATGCCACCACCAATGATTGTGTTCATCTACGACGTCCTTGTATCCTCTTGCTTCCATCCAACTCTCAGTTACGAATTTTGACATGTAATTTCTGATTCCGTCTGGCATTATGACCACACATTTCTGTCCCTCTTTCAATTCTTTGGCAGCTTCGAGTGCGCCAGCAAGTATAGCGCCACTGCTTTCACCAGCCAAAATACCTATATTGAATGGCACCATATTTTTGGAATAAATTTATTAATAATCGCTCTTTTAATTTCATAAAACACGTGAATTAAGTTTTAAGAGACATTTTTGATCAAAATTTTAATACTGCAAAAATACCTTCTTTTCGAATCAAATTTCGAACCATTTGCATAGTGGTTTTGTCATTAACTTTAATCCATCGATCAATATGTTGACGATGCAAAGTTTCGAAAACGTAATTATAACCAATTCCTTCTACCTCCCAAAATGTTACATCAGTTTTATTAATTGACTCAGGTAAGGCAAGGGTTGAACCCAATGGATCAACACCAATGATTTCGCAATTTGGACACTTTTCCTTTACTTTATAGCCAATTCCGGTTATTGACCCACCTAGAAAACGTTAGATTGTGTTTTATTTAATAGAAAATCGTTCATGGTTTGCATAAGTCCTCTTTCGATCCAATAATAAAAATATGCGTTAAAAAACAATTTTTTGACCCACCAGTGCCAGTTCCAATGACTACCATATCGACCTGGCCATCACATTGCTGTAAAATTTCTTCGCCGGTGCCATCATAGTGAGCTAGCGGATTAGAAGAATTAACAAATTGATCTAAAATAACTGAATTTGGAATTTTCTGGCTCAATTGTTTTGCTACTTCAAATGGACTTTCGGGATCGTCAACATTTTTTCCATTTGGTGTTCGTACAATTTTGGCACCGAGCAATTTCATCGTTGATTCTTTATCTTGTGAAATTTTCTCCGCCATCACAAGAATACATTTATAACCTTTAACAGCGCAAATTAGAGAAAGTGCAATTCCTGTATTGCCCGAAGTTGGTTCAATGACGGTACTTATTCCGGGTGTTAATCGACCCTGCTCTTCAGCCTCTTCCAACATTCGGAAGGCCATCCGGTCTTTAATCGACCCAGCCGGATTGAAAAATTCGACTTTTGCGTCTGTGAATGAAAAACAATTATGACGTTTTTAAAGTGCTATTACGTATTCAATATTAAAAAAACTTACAAACGTCGCATTTCAAACCAGCTTCTTTTGGAATTTTATTCAACTTCACCAACGGCGTATGTCCAACAGTTTCCAAAATATTCGAAAATATTTTTGGTTGATCTCCACTGTACGAAAATAAACACAGATTATTAGCAGTTTATATTGAAAAGAGATAGTGCTTTGTAAAACATTCAATTTTATATTTTGGAGAACGATATTTTTTTAGATTGAAATTCGTTCCGATGAAATCCAATTTTCAAAACACCTAATTAAGAACACAGTTATTCAAAAGTGTGAAACAATAACAAAATCAACTCGTATGTTAAATATGAAAAAAGTTTAATAACATTTCGAAAGAATTCCACCCAGATAAGATAATTATTGAATTCAAAACAAAAATCAGTACTGATATTAATTGTTTGTTTCCAATTTTTTAATATAATGATCCAGACGTCACAATTCAAAAATTCAACACTGTCTACTTACTGCCTGCGGTGAGTGTGTTGTTTCCACGAATTGAAACAACACTTTTCGTTTGAACACAATTTACTTTTTTCGCTCATATTTTAGTTGAAGCTGAAACGAGTCAAATATGAACTGGTTACTTCTGCAGTTTTCGAAAAATTACAAAACTTGAAATTTTACCTTTTTTATGTTAAAATTTTATGAAATGAACTTCCAGAATTGGATTTTCAATATTTTATATAAAATTGAACTTTAATATTATAATACTTTTTTTTAAATAAAAGTTTGAGCTCAGTAATTAGCCATACAACTGCCAATGATACACTAGTAGACTTGAACAGTAGAATGTGATATTGTTGTCTTTTATATACAAGTTATCTACTGCATGTGACGTAATCAAGCACTGATATACATTCACTTCTTTATCAATTTTTAGAGTCAACATTTTTTTCTCTTATCGCATATTATTGAATTAACTTAAGCTTAGTCTACTGCTGGGGAATGCAATTGTTATTGTAATTGTAATTGTAGTAACGCTCTCGTAAGAAGTTTTACTCTCAATACCATTAGTTTGTCATAAAGTCTTTTTCCAATAATTAGAGAGTGAAACGGTTTTTATGTAGAGCAAATATCTATTTTAAAGAATTATATTTGCATAACTAATAATATCGTATTTTTGCAAAACATTCCATTCTCAAATAAAAAAAATAAACCTTAGTCCACTAGTCACAATGACAACGTAATAATCTTATCATTTTATGTAGCTTTTACTGCGTACTGTTTATTTTCTTCCGATGACTATACATGTGCCATTTTTTATTATATTTGATTAAGACAATTGTTCACTCACGATTAATTTGCACAATTTCAAGAGGCAGTATTCATATAAATCAATTACAGTACATTGCCAAATGTCGACACACGACCAAATGTCGGAATACCGAGAGGTGAATTGAAATTAAAAATTGAAAATTCATTTTAATTGCATTCAAATCTCTTTATTATAATCCAAATTTCAATCAAAAATCTATTATTGCTTTCACAAATTATGTTCGTAAAAAAATTCGGCATTTTTATCACTTTTTCACGTCAAAAGTTAAACTATGTCATTTAAAGACAAGCCGGTAAAATGCATTTTTTAGAAAAAATAGAGAAAAAATTATATTTATTTTTCATTTTTCACTGTAATATTATTCCGGAATAAATCGTCCAATTACCGAGTCGGTAAAACCGACACATAAAGCACCGATGTTTCAAGTGAAACACTTTGCATTTAACAGATGTGACAGTTAAAGTCGTATTTGGATCATTGTGAATTTCAACCAAAAATATTATAAATCAGTGAAATAACGTAATATTTTTAAATATTCTTGCCATTTTGTTATGAAAAAATACATAAAATTAAATATGCAGCAAAAATATATCAATCTAATAATTTGAACTTCGATATTTTGTATTGTTTTCCTCAATGTAAAGAATGCGTTCATGGGCTGTCAAAACTTAAAGTTATTCAAGTTTTGCGACGAATATCCGACATTTGGAATTTTCGATGTTACGACGGAAAAATGAAAAATAATAATATATTATTGGATTTTTTTTTCTTTTGACAAGTGTGAAATGAAGCACAATTAAATTCTGCATAGAATTGTGTATAGAATGATATTTTTAGATGAAAGGAAAAGTGTTAAATATTAAATTGAAGTTGAAAATTCAAACAAATAGTCCGAAATTTGGGCGAGTGTCCATATAAACGATCAATTTAGAGTTTCATCAAAATAACAATATAAAAATAAAATAAAATAAAATAAAATAACTAATAAAGAAACAACAGCAAATTGTCAATAAATGAATTTGAATTTAGGAATTAAAATCCCAATCAAATTTTTGAAATTAACATGGTCGAAAGCTATGCGATAGACGATACGTTTTGATTATTTTTACCATATGATTATTCACACCACAAAGATAGAACTTTGCCCTTCTTTTTCCTCTCCGAATTGAGAATAAAATTCAAACATTTGCCAAAATATACCAGTGACCGGTTCGCGCATATTTCTATGCTTGCCTAAATACGCTAGGTAGCATAGATATGCCAAGCATAGCCGCAAACGCAACCGACGCATCGCCGTTCACTCTATATGAACAATACACATGTTCGTTTATGCAGACGACCGTGCGCATACAATATAGCTCGAATCGAATGGCGACGGGTGCGTTGCGGCTTGCGTCTCCGCTATGCTTAGCATAGCTATCAGGCATAGAAATATGCGCGAACCGGTCACTGAAATATACAAGGTAATGTATTTCAGCTTCACAAAAAGGGTCAACCCTTTCCATCGAATGCAACCACATTCCATAAATAATTTATTAATTTATTGGTTTTTCATACATTTTAAAAGAGTTTCGGTTTGTGTTTCTCAATAACTATAGATTTATCTGGCAGTGGAATATCATATTTCTCATTTTTTTTGTTTGTCGAACACATGTTTTGAACTTTGAAATTGTTTCATACCTAGACACTGATACATTTGAGGGCTTTTTTTAATCGAACGAATCAGAACAAACCGTGAATAATTGAACGATTTATCATTGATTTAAAAAGGATTGAAGAGAGGCAACAAAATCAAATCAATGAATTATTAATTTGTGGGTTGGTGTAATCATCATAAAATGTATTTGAATAAAAATATTTTTTTTTTCGAAATGGTTTTAAGAGATTGCATATGGATAAAAAAAAATCTACGTGTAAAATATAGATGACTTGTATTTTACTTGTAGAAAAGTTCGCCAGATTTTGTCATGATTATCTTTCTTTCATTGACACCTAGCTGATTTATTTTCATCTATTCAGATATCCCACAAAGTGTAAGAGAGAATGAAGTTCCTAATTTTCAATGCAATTCCAATTTTTATTCATGCGAATTCTTTCGTTCGGTAATAGCACACACGGGGTGATTCATACACCTCTGGCAGACGCACAGTAATGTCGATCCCTGTGCCAATGATATTATTGAGTTAATGCCGTTGCATTGAAATGTAATTATGGTTTATTTATATGTGCCTTTCATATTTTCCAGTGAATTGACGGCGGTAAGTAAAAGACGTGTGTATTATAAACTTGCACACGTGGTGTACAGTACTATTATTCTAGTGAATTTATTCTATTCAGAAAACCGCATTCTTTTCATAGAAATCGAACGGCGAAAATTTTGATTTATGTAAACTCGATTACATTTGCTCATATTTGTTGTGCAAACCATATACGCAATGCCGAGAAGCAAATAAATTCTCGACGACTTGAAGCTGAGTGCAAAGACAGAGAGGGAACGGCGGTGGTCGGTTCGATGGTGATGGTGGTAAATAAGGGTAATATATGAACAAGTGATGCACACAATAGGCATGCACTATGTGGGGTAGTTGTGTTCATGCCACAAATTGATGCATATTTTGGTATTTAAATGATGAATGACATTCGTTGACACTTACATCCAATAATGTTCAATCAATGGCACTCAATTTAGAAAATTTATTTTAAAAACGACAACACATAACAAATTGATTTAATTTTGTCGCTTTGCGAAATTCGAAAAGCATTTTGTATTGCAAATGCCGCCGCGCCAGTTTACATCTAGTAATAATCGAATGATTTGCAACATTGCATGACATATCTAATAATTTGCATTTTACACTGTACACGCGCAAATAGAAAACTCAATTGGTAATATAATTTCAGAGCATTTGTTGGGGAAAATTGTGCGTATGTCATAATGACAAGGGCGTCAAATCGAATTCTACCGAATTTAGGTCGGTCAAATTCAATATACTCAAGGAATTATTCAATTTTACTCTTATCTTTTCATTAAATCCTTGTAGCTCTGCTGAAACACAGAAAGACTTTTATACATACCTGTGTTGTCTACATTTTAACTTCAGAATTGCGATTTGGATACTTTCTTTTCCGTCCTTTGGTAGGCAATTTGTTTCGTGTCGCTAAAATGGTTTGAGTGTGAACAATTTGACAAAATAAAAAAAGAGCACACCGAATTTATTGAAAAACTGTCGATTGTCGAGGGTACAGTGTATAAAATAGAAATATATTGCAATAGCTCAGTCGAAGGTATATACCAAGAGAAGGAAGAAAGAATAAAACGGCAAAAGAAGCGAAACTGGGCGAAACGACAAAATAATAATAATAGACTGGAAGTGAACAACAATGGCAGAGCAAAGGCAAAGGCAGTGTGTCTGAAGTCACTAAATAAAAATTAAAGGCATGTAAATCGGTCTCAATTGCACAATAAAATGAAGAGGAAAGGAATGGAACTAAGAAGAAAAAAGAATCCGGTTGCCTACATTTCCATTTGACGTTGTGTTTTTTCTTCGCTTTCGTTCGTTCTATCGAGCAGAAGAAAAGAATTGTTTGTGTCGGAATAGAAGAAGTGCGAGAGAGTTTAAAGAATTATACGGTGCAATAAAAGAAATTTCAAACGCACAAAAGAATCGTAACACACATTCGAGAAGAAAAACGATTCGAATAAATTTAATCTGAGTCGATGTAAAGAGAATTATAGGTGTTTTTCACCCCCATCGATTACGCGCGTCACGGTTTTGTGCCACAACGGCAGCCACACTCTCGAGTACTCTGAAGAACATTCTTTTTCGTGCCTTCGCAAAGCAGCCGAATTGCAAAATTATTGACTGCACTGCACGTTGGTGTTTGCAAATCATTTCAATTCCAACAACAAAATCTGTTCATGTGCAACACAATTTTTGCATTTTGTATAAAGGCAAACGAGATTACTTTTGTATTTTTCGCATTTCCATTTGATTGATAGCGACTAATTTTTCATGAGACAAATTGCGTTCTCCGCCAGCGCTTTTATTCGCTCTCCGTTTGTGCAAAGTTGAAAATTTATTGCGACATTAGCGCAATAACCCCATTTTAATATTTGCATTTCTAAGTGCGAGCTAAGTTTGATCTAAATACAAATCTTGCTCTCGTTCTGAATTAATTTCGACCGGTTGATTTAAGTGTCGCCCGATAGAAATCAAGCAGCTACGCTGTTCGCCTTATGACCAAAATAAAACGGAACTTACATCATCAAGACTTACTTTTCTGCACTTTAACTCCATTCAAAATGCCCGAAGTGTTATTATTTATTAAATTTCGTTGAGTACTTTTACGGCTCATCGTGGTATGAGCAGAAAAGAAAACTCTATTTCAATTCGTCGTCGCCACGACAATCCCAAACATAGAAATTTATTTGGTAAATTTAAGAGCAGGCGACAATCTTGATGCTAGATAAATGAGCCAAATGTAAAAAAACGAT